TATGTTAAACATCCTTAAGCAAGACAATAACTACAAGGATATTATGACACTTTTTTGTTACGGGGCGCTAATGAATTTTTGTATTTTACTTTCACTTATGCAAGCCTGGAGGTCTCAACAATAACTATCGTCAAATTAAAAGAGACGTAAAAAGGATTTGTAAGACAGTGCTAATGAAAAAAGGGCTGTACTTTTCGAACGACATTTTCATTACAAACAATGCAGATGAAGCTTCTTGTTCCATTTTGGCGAGACAAAGACATTCTTAAAAGATAAAGAGTTCCATTGTTAATCTCCGAAATTATCTTTACACCTGTTAAGTGCTGAAATTATTTTGCAAGTCTCTTTAAAAAATAATACGTTTTAAAATGTTTATTTTTTAATAATTTTTAAATCAGAAATATTAGTATCTATTTATTATAAGTGTAAACATGAACGAAAACATGATAAATATTTTTGTAATTAAATCTGCATGACACATAGAAGATGTGTTTAAAATTAATCGTGATATCGTTTAAAAGCCGGATATTTCCACCTGATCTCCAGAATTCCAACAGTAATATTGATAATTTCCGTTGAAATGTTTATCTACGCAAGTATTGGAGTTTATTTAAGTTGATGTACCGAAAAAGTTTTAACGATTGCTCGGCTCTCGTTACTTCCAAATTGGCTACTCCAATGTTAACATTTGCAAGTACTTAGTTGCCTGTTATATCATTTTTAACAAAATTCCTACTTTATCATTGGCTCATATTAGCTACCACTAATTTTAATATCTATGACTAAATTTTAGATCGTAAGGTTTGTAATGTAATTCTTTTGTTGTTGCGGTCAACCGATTAAAATTCTTTGACTAATACAAAGATTACGTAGTCAACACTAATTTTAAAAGGCTTAATAAATATTGAATTAATAATTACTTAAAAACAAATTCTTCATAAAGTCTTAGGAGAGCCAGGTCAGCATTCAGTGTGTACGGGTCGAACTCCTCGTGGAAGATAACCAGTACAACGCTTCGTAACGTCGTTCCGCGGTCGGAATAAGTCTGACCAGCTACTACTCCCAGTTCATATACGGGAACACTGTGAACAGACAAATGTATTGCTAGTTACCGTAGGTTTCCACTGTTTTAACACTTCTATCAATATTTGTGGAGTCTCTATTTCGTCAAAAAAAAGCAAAGTGAATCTTTTGGCAAATCGATAGGTCGTGTAAAGCCTGCTACACAAGTTTAGTTTTAACTTTACAGTCAAACTGAGAAGTTAAAACTGAACTGTACCGAACTTAACTGAAAACTGTATAGTTTAATTGACAGCACAAATGCATACACACGTTCGATTTAACTGTAAGGTTTGACTTTTCAGTCAAAACTAAAGGTGTAGTTGGCTTAATGTATCACTTTTAATTGGTTTAAAAAATTTTTAAATAGTATTCTTAAGTGGTCCTGGCAAGGATACATTTTCAAACATTTTACATTATGTTCTAAACACCAATGTCGTCGATTATAGATTTTTATGAGTAATGTATTTGGTGAATGTTAAAAAGTAGTTTACTAAATCATTAACTTATCAAAAGACAATTTAAACAAATGGAGTGAAACTATACTTTATTCTGTATTAAAAGAAACTTTTTTGAAAAAAAAGTATCAAATACTTTTAGTGCCAGCGGAATCGTAACAAAACATAGCCGTCAGATTCAAAGGTCGTCCAGGTTTATCCATCGTTATTGAGTTGGAAAAAGAACAAATATTTTATAGTAGCTTTAGTAGATCGGTAAGCCTCGTGCAATCTATTAGAGTATCCTTAACAGACATTTTTCATTGTATTTTAAAAGTTGGCAACTGCTCTCCGATATATCTTGGTATCAGAGACGATTTCAGCCCACACGGATACGTGATCGCTTCAAGTGAAGGCAACTTACGAAATACGAGATATACTACGATGTTAAAAAATTCAAAGGGAGATTTTAAATGTTGAAAATCAGGTAAAATAAATCTGATTTTAATTGTCAGACACACATACTTGTTTGTACACAGAAACAGTACAAAGAAGAAAAATTTATATTTTTGTATGTATTGAAAAAACTCAAAAAACTACGGGTCCGATTTTTAAATTTTTTTCCCTATTAAAAAACTACGTTACCAGTAAATTACATAGGTTACATATATTTCTATTATTCTATTCCAGGAGGATGAAGTTGCGAGTAAGAGCATGTGGCAAATATTTCTTGAATTACACAATACTACACGGACTTATATGAAAAATATATTGTTCATACATATACCATTATATGTACCATTCGATTGTTGAATATCGTCTGAATATCTGATAGCAATGTTCATGCTGAAACTCGACGTTTGAGTTAGATGCACTGTGTTAGCTAACAAACTACATACATATAGTTCAACCTACAACTGATGGTAATTGAGTATTCGAATGGAAGTGAATCACGTGGAACTAAGTTTCATGTTAACTTTACTGAGCATATGCAACACAACACAAACTCTAGTAATTCACTTGAATTCTATTTTACACTTAGATCTTGTAGACTTTACTATGAAGATGGACCTTAATATTTAAAAAAAAACTGTATCAAATTATTGTGTTAGACGATCAATAGATTTTACGTTTTACGATATGGCTTTTATTCAATACCATAATATATCTTTCTTGGAGTAGCATTATATTCGAATTTAAACAATGACACATTTACTCTTGATTCATTATTAAAGAATAGACTTACTTCGAGAGAGGGTGTGCGACAGAAATGACCAGTTTTCTGGTCAGAAGCGTTCCCGTTAAGTAATGGCTGAGCAATCTTCGGACGCTTACAAGATATGGATGTTCTTGTACAGACACTCGAACGCCTTTGAATATCTGAAAATTTACGTTTAAACTTGTAGTAACACGATTAAATAAAGTGATTGCAAAATGATATTTAGAAAAATATTCCTCTTATATATCAATATTCATGGATTAAATTCCAATCAATTTGATGGAAATCGAATAGCAAATACCGGCTTTGTTTACGAATATGAAAGGCATAGTTTTACATTTTATTTGTCGTGTGTTTACGTTTCGGAAACAGTACAATAGTTTACGAATATTGTTTAATACTATTTGGACTACGTAATTTGCATTCGAACAAAATAAAATCTTTTTAACAATCTGTGCTTTTTCTTGCTTTTATATTGTTTCATGATACCTTTTTAAATGTTTTATTTAATACTAGCTTTCGAACACGAATCCGTCCGCGTGTAATTAAACAAAAGAAAAACAAAGTAAGTAGCTTATGTGTTCTTCCAGACTATACTCTTCATACAGTAGGACCTCGATAACTCAAACCTCGGTAACGTAAAAACCACTATAACTTTAAAAAATAATATGTTCCCTTCCCATCAGAGCTCAAAACCTCTACATTATAGACTCTTGACAACTTAAAACATTTTGTGTTTCCCTTGGACTTTAACTTATCGAGATTCTACTGTTTATGCAAAATTTCATCGAGGTCCGTTCGTCCGTTTAGGCTACAAACTCTAACAAACATCCATCCATCCAACTGAACTTTCTCATTTATAATATTAGTGAGAGTCAAGGAAAATTAATGATATGTGTACAAGTGTAGACGCCTGTTTATTAATACCAACGTGACAAACTCGTGTAAATCATAACATAACATTAGTATTTCACTAGAAACTTTGCCAATCGCAAACTTACTCTAACGTTCTCATTAAAAATTGTAACACGATACCGTTTCCTTTAGCATCGAGTTTTCCCAGTAACTTAAAGAGAAATACGAGTAACGAATAATAGAATAAAACCAGAATATATCCGTATGTAAAAACATTTAAAATTACATTCAGCATATAAATTCTACTTTTGATTTGTATTGCATATTGGGGTTTGTATACATATATATTAATTGTTTTAACTTACTTTTCTGTTCAGTAGAGGTATGTCCCCTATATTAGGATATCCGGCACTTTCAAACAAATTTCCGTAACTCGCTACCGAAATATTTCCAGAAAAAGTTATTTCCTTTTCTATTGCAGTACCAACAGCAATAACTGTAATAAAATAATTAAATTATTAAATTAGCTGTTGCTAACGTCTTCGTCCGCGCGGATTTTTTTAAAATAAATATAGCCTATGTTACTCAGTGATATTGTAGCTATACATTGGTGAAATATTTTTTTATCGAGACAGTAGTTTTTAAGTTATTACAATACATACACAAATACAAATCTTACTTCTTTGTAATGTTAGTACAGATTGTAAAAATAAACAAAGTTAGGCTTTTATAATACAACATTGAGTACCAGTTTGAAATGCAGTTCGAGTTATAATTCATACCAACGATCTATTTTCAGTTAAGACAGATTAACGGCAATGCATTATATTAACTAATGTATGGAATATTTGTGTTTTGTCGTATTGTTAAAAGCTTTTTTGTTATTCTTTTTTGTGCCCTTATAGGAGGAAATATTCCACTACTATTCCATACATCTCTATCAACCGACGTGTATCTGCTTTCATACAAATTCTTATTTCACACAATACAATTGACTCTCATTACTTTATTGTCTATGCGCGCATCTATTTATTATTTTTTTATTCCATTTACTCAGTAATCGATCCATCACCATCCCCCTTCAGTGTGCTCTGGAAACCTCGATTAGGTCTAAATCTGATTATTCCACCAGTACTTTTTATCAACTTGTGGCCGCCATTTTCCATGAAATTATTTCAAAATCGACTAAATAAAAAAAACTTTAACTAGTACGCTTAAAATTTTTAACAGTTTTGGTCCGTTGTTAATACAAACATCAAAGTTTAATATCGGTTGGACCAAAAACTAACTATCGCTAGAGAATTAGGATGGCAGGAAATTTCATACGAGCTTTAGAGGCTTGGAGCCCAATAACGAGCAGTATTCAGGGATGTAAACCACTCGCAGGTTGCATGCAATGTGGAGCAAAAATGCAATTTTTAAATCCTGAAAGCTGAGGCCAATTAGACAGGAAAAACAAAGTTATGTATAAAAATATCGTAACTACTATTCTGTTATCCGTTTTAAGCAAAAGTACCTTCGAGGGGTAGACAGAGCTTAAGCTGTTTTTTCAAATGATTAATGTAACCGACATATGAAAGACTTTGAATACTAATGTCTTTAAATAATAAAATGATTAAATTTTTTTTTTCAAAAACTTTTTGCTGCAAAAATTTAAAAAAGAAAGCGTTCCAACTACACAGCAATACGTGATCACAGTTCCGAATGTTCGTTACGATTGTACGGAAAAAAACACCCTTTAAAAAACCTCGTTTGGACAGAAAGTAAATCAAACATGGAGTATGTTTACATTCCTTTCAATGTTACACACAGTGCAGCGTTAAATGTTTTGGTAATAACTAACGCCGATTTATATTTCAATTAAAAATCCTGTTAATAAATCCATAGTAAGGAAATCTACTATGAAGTTTTCATTTTCAGAATTGACTACAGCCTTTTTTTTATAACTACTTATATTTTAGTAGGAATTGCGTAAATTAAAACCAGTTTTAGTTTATATTTGATTTAACATTTAGCTTTTCACATCGATATTTCCATTATTATTAAGTTTGCAATAATCATTATTTAAGATGTAATTATTATTTTTTTTATTTATTATTTAAAAACAAGGGCAATGTAAAGGACACTAAAAACTAATTTATAGTTTCAAAAAAGCAATTCATAGAATTCGTACAGTTTCCTATAATATTTTCTACTTTGAATCAGAGCATAATTTGCCTCAACGTAGTTACTAGGAATGAATATAAGTATGTAGACTTACGAATGCTCCAGACTGCTATTGAAGAGGTAATTGGCATCTTTCAACGAAATGCTTTTAGACTGATTTGATTTCTTGAAAATGTATCGCAAAACATTAATTACAATCTATGTGGTCTTGACAAGGATTAACTATTATTGTCTTTGATTCATACACATCTATACTAATATAATAAAGCGTAAACACACACTTCTTTGTTGCCTAAGATATCAGCAATCCCAGCATATTTTTGAATAATTCTTTCTTTTATAAAAAGTCCTACACTTACGTCACGTTTTAGGCTACAGATTTTCACGCCATTAAACTTAGGGGGTAAAAATTTTGGATAAAAACCCTAATTTGGGAAAGAGACCTTAAGTTGCTGCCAACATTAAGGAAACAAGATTACCAAGGATTGTCATGTCATGTCAGTTTGACATTTGCTATTAATAATTTGACAAATGTAAACAATAAAATGAGCGTCGGGGGCTCAGTGGTTTGAACACTTGACTTGTAATCTACAGGTCTTGGTTTCTAATCCCGCCATGTACCAATGTGATTTTCGATTTTCCGAATTTTCATATGTACATAATTTACCCGACGTTTTTACGGTGAAGGAAAACATCGTGATGCAACCTGCACATATCGGCGAAGAAATTCAAAGGTATGTGTTAAGTCAACCAACCCGCACTTGGCGAGCGTGGTTGACTGTGGCCTAGTCACCCCATATTAGGGTAGGCTCCGAGCCCCTCGGTGGGGAAGTATAGTGAGCTGGTGATGATGATGATGATGAAACAATAAAATAAAGTTTTTATAATTTCATGTGGGTGAAACCGCACGGAAACAGCTAGTATAATAATAAAAATGAAACCAGAGTTAATTTATTACTTTATTTACTATAATAAGTATCACAAAAAACTTATAATAAAAATCAATACGTTCTAACAATAAGTACCTTTTAGTAGACACGGTAAAAATATATATTTACATCTTAAGAAAATTAAAACAATTCTGTGAAGACTAAAAAAAAATAATTAGATACAATTACTAATCGCATTATTATATAAGCCGATATAAGCAAAACAATAAAACTTACATTTTTAAAAGAAGCACCTAAAGAATTACTTAATAGCATGAATATAATAAATAAAATGAAATATTTTTATTTCACTAAATTCTAAAAACAACAATATTTAAACAGACAAAATAATTTTAGTAATAACTTTTTAAAAACAAATCAGGCTAAATAAATAGTAAATAAAAGTACTCATAATTTACTTTCTGACTTCACCGACATTTGCTGGGGTTGTTAAAACTTTTAGATTGTTTGGTGTTTTGTAACGAAACTAAGTGGTGGGTGTTAGTTATTTCTGCAAACTAAGTTACGTTACCGCGTTGTCGGTTATTAATTCATACTTTTAATTGCTGTTACTTAGTTAAAGTTTTATGAACAATACTTATCTGTAATAACAAGAGTAAATATTTTTTCCCGCACTAGAAAACAAATACACAGATAATTTTTTTCACCGATAGATGAGTCAATTAGCAATTAATCTAAGGAATTATTCTTTTCTTTCTAAAATGAAATAAAAACATAGCCAAGCCTTTACCAGGTCCTGAATTATTTGCAGCTTATCTAAAAGTCCATGTATTACTCAATGTTGGTTTCCAGTTGTGATACCCTTATTCAGTTACGTTTACCTGAATAGGTTTTTCTGGAAATATATTAACCAGTTATCAGAACATAGAGAAGGGGCTTACTCTCCTCTGCTACAAATCACCTCTTGAAGAAAATATCCCCATAACATTTTGGTTATAATCTTACTAACATTATAAGTGCCATAGTTTGGATGGATGTTTGTTAGAGTTTGTAGCCTAAACAGCTGAAAGGATCGTGATGAAATTTGGCAATGATGTAGAGGATAGTCTGGAAGGAAACATAGGCTACTCTCTTTTAATTTTTAATTTAACGCAAGTGGAGTTGCGGGAAAAAGGCATTGAGAATTAAATTGTAATTCAAAATCGTCACATATGTCGTGATTAGATATTTCATATCTGTATTATAAACATAATACATGTTTGCATAGGTTATAAAATAGCAATCCTATTACTAAAATTAGTTGATGTAACGCATGTGTTTTGGGTAATTCATTTGAACCGTATAAGTTTGACAAAATGTTTGATCGTTCATAGAGCGTTTTAGCGCTGGTAATCAATATTCGTGTGCAAACTTCGAATGTCCAATATTGTGAATACATTTCAAAGATATCGTAGTTTAAATAAAATTGGTGATTTATTTTTGCATATTTTTTTTTAATCTTTGGCGAGAGTGGTGACTCGCATCTCGCCACTGCTAGGTGTGGCGAGACGGACGGCGGTGCGCGGCGGCCACATACTCGACTGACGATCTTGTGTGCGCACCCCATACGCTCGAGCACTAGTCGATGACAACGAATGCACCGATATTATCTGAAACACAACACACCAAGATTATATGCATTTAGTTTATACGTGAAAAAATTACATCAGGAAAGAGCGAAAACTTTTTGTCTTATTAATTCGTAAATAAACTATTAAAATTCAACATCTCACTAATGTTTTTACATAGGCTTCTTCAAGTATGGATTTACAAAACTTTAGACCATACTTCGTAAAACTAAAAAAAAAACTTAAAAATAAATTCTTGTGCGAGATGCACATTTCGTTGTTAAGGTACTTTTCCTAACAATAAATTTTATAACATATCTACACAAATAGTCAGAATTGATATTTGACGAAACAGGTCATGTTGATTACAAAGCGCACTCTGTTTGCTAACGAAGGCTACACTGCAATTTGATAACCGGACCTCTATAGAATCCAATTTCTCGGACACTCCGTCCATGCAATAGTCTGTTTAACTAAACAATGATGGATGTAAACTCTAAAATACACATGTAAATGCAATATTGCAATAGCTATCGCCGAATTAATCTACACATTGATGGAATGGAAAAATGTAGTCAAGAATATTAATTTCCTATTTCGAGGAAATCAACATAACATATCATAGTAACTTACATGCGGTAAATTACAACTTTTATTATGACAGTTCGCTGTACAATATTCAAGCCTAAGTGGGAAGTGAATTTAATTCTTCAACTGCACTTACCCTAGACCTGTGTCTAAGAAGTGGACGACTTTCAGTCGATGATGCGTCTCCTTCAATATCTCTAGTGTTATATCCTTGAGCCATACGCCAGAATATCAACATCGCAATCGCCAGTGCGGCGGCGTACACAAAGAACTCCGAAGCCTGAATTAACAAAACTTTTAAGGCCATACGCGGATATCTTCAAAAAGTCTGTGTGAACAATAACAATTGACGTTTGACGCAAGACGATTGGAAACTGGGGTTCGTTTAAAGCTATCGCCGATCTTAAACACTGCTGACGGACTGATATAACTTTTTTGGATATAGCTTATCGCGATTCCCTCTCAATATAACTAGGTAAATGATTTACTTTTAGAAATTAAATTAATAGAACACGCATACAACATGCTTGCACAAAACGACATTTACAAAAATAAAAAAAAAAACTTACTCTAGATTCAAATATTTTTGTCTGCGCAATCAAAATCACGATCAAGTTACCGAATGCCACGGATACATACCACGCGGCTATTGTTATTGTTTTCATGCTTTTTGGTGCCTAAAACACAAACACGAAAAAAACAAATGTACACCCAGGAATAGATAATATTAAAATGGTTGTATAGTAACACGCCTACAAGACAATGTTATATTCAAAAATACGCGCAATAAAAATTCAGAAGGCTCATTAAACAACCAAGGGAAGAAAGATGAGGATGCCAAATCTTTCTATAAAATTTGGCACATATATAGAACATAGTCTAAGAACACGTAGTCTACTAATTATGATTTTTTTAATCCCGCGCGGATGGAGTCGCGGGCGACACCTAGTATAAAAATAAAGTTACCCATACCTGTGTAAAAGAAAATTCTAATCCAGAGACGGCAAACATAATTTCGGCTATCGACACCAAGAGATATTGAGGCACAATCCATGCGAGATGTAATTCGTTAGGAGGATTCGGTGCATGAAGTACCGCAGCGTCCAAACGTCCCAGTCGTTCCCGCAAACAAAGCACATACACTCCGCCGGCTCTAACGTAGCCTTCTCCCGAACCAGATAATTCACCAGTTGCACTAGATGCGTGCCATTTGAATCTAAAGGATAAATGTGTTATCAATACTCCTTAAGGACTTCTAAATCTATTCTGTAAATTAGGAGTTACATGTGCCTGAGATAACTAACTTCAATAAAACCGATAATAGCAATAATTAAGCAATCAAAAGACCCCATAAGAAATCTTAGGACTTATCCCTTCCACATCATTATACACCATACAAATTTGGCTAATGTCAAAGACTTCGTTTTTTTTGAAATAACATGTCTATTATTATCTGTTGAAAAAACAAGTGACACAAGGAATGGTTCTTCATTCATTTTATCCACTCTCTCACACAAACTTACCTTCGTGTATAAAAGTATACAGGATTAAAGTTAAACTTTAAGATATTTAAATTCCAAATCCCTTAATAAAATGTACAACTTTCTATGTCTGTCTTTTAATATCATTCAAGCTCGACATGAAACTTTTACATCTTCATATCTTATCTGTTCTAGACATACAGAAGTTTTAGATGTAAAATTCAAAGAAGCCTTAATAAACAGTAGGATGCATATTAACTTACTCGTCGACGTTCATTCGTTTTCTTTATTTTCGTTAGAACATTCTCCTCCATTTCCATATCTCGTATACCGCAATTTATTTAACTTTTGAAATTCAAGAATCAAGGAAAAGAAATATTGGAGTTGGTTCGCGGTGCATTTGTTTGTTTTGCGTGTCAAATAAATCCTTTTATAGTGGTTATATAAAAAGTATGTAGGTACAAAACGGGTATAAATATTTACTAGCTGTTGTCCGCGACTTCATCCACGCAATATTATAAAACGTATATATGCCCGTCTATGACAGCTACCCGTCAGTAAAGTCCGGTCGAAACGGCTGCGCCGATTTCGACCGGACAGGCAATAAATTTTTAAATGCGATTTTCGTAATTAGCTAAGAAAATATATCATCTCCCCCGAAACCTGGAATTTTTCTGTTCATATTATAAACAGACACCCCAATTTCGTTATATGTATAAATATAGATAGATACTCATAGATCCATTATTTCAAAATGTATTATTACGGTGCTTAATTGGTACATCGGCGAGAGAGCGAATATTACCAACGTGCCAAATGAAATACCATAGTTTTTTCAGTTACAACCTGTTCAATACGTCTCTTATTAGTGTACTTTCATAATTACCGTGTTAGGAACACTCACTTCCCCGGCTGTAGACACATATACGCAGACTCCCCGATGTGATCCACTGGTGAGTCGGACACGTAGTATATATCATTAAGTCTCTTGTCAGTTTCCACAGTTATCGATACGTTCTTATTAGGGCCCGTGTCTCCCACGTAAACAACCCTGAAAAAGAAGAGTTCGAAAATATTATACCTATAATAACCGTCCGATGAATGCCGCCCAATTTTACATAAAAAACAAAATCAGAGGTAAAACCGGCTAACTAAAGTACGATTCATGTCACTAAAGTCCAAAGATGTTATACTCTTGTAACGTTATTATCTTTATAACACGTTATATTACAATGTATTGATTAATATTGGTTGCAATCTTAGATGCATATTACACGTCTATCCGTTTTGGGGAATAATATTCAAAAGAACTCTCGGATATTACTTGTCCGTGTCAATCAAATCGAAAACAAAAGAGTGTATCGTTCAGAAGATGAAAATAGACTGTGGAAAGCATAGCGAATTTATGTATTAGATTTGGGAGCATTTCTTAAAAAGAAAAGCTTTGAAAGACAAATTGAAAATCCAAAAATTTATCATCACTTAGCGATTATCATAATTTCATTTCAAGCGGGATGCACTAATGAAATCTTAAATTCCCAGTACACAATTGAAGCTGCCAGTATCTATAATTAAATTAAGGATACTCACTTTAGTTTCGGTTTTCCCGTTAAGGACTTTCCAAATTGATTTGGATCCATGAAGTAAAATCTTATTTGATCGTCAGAATTCTGACCAACAATCACCGGCATAAACTGCAAATAATTTTACAATGACTCCAACTGCTAATATCTAAATTGAATCAAAGCTATAACTAGTTTTGACCAAAGCTTACCACTAACAAGCTAACAAACTGTTGTCGAATCGACTCAAAAGCAATTCGGTTGGCAACAAATTTGCAACCGCGGGAACAGAAAGTTTCACTTTGCCCGACAGCCAATTGCATTTATACAATAAGACATAAAAACGTTTCACCTTAATCATCATTTATTCAATTAATAATTTTAGAAACACAAACCCAGACATATCTATACTTGCTGAGGTAAATATAATATATGCTATCTTGCGAAGTGTTTACACCAATCTTTCACAAATTGGTCCAACATGCGTTGTTAAAGTTTTTTTATTGTATGCATTGAAATAATAGATTTTTATTTTTGTATGCATTGAAATAACTCATAAACTACTGAGCCGATTTAAAAAATCTTTCACCGTTAGAAAGCTAATTTATCTGTAAGTAATGTAGGCTGTATTTTTTAAAATTCATTAATTTCACGAGGACGAAATCGCGAGCAACAGCTAGCGTAAGATAAATTTACACTTGATTACGATCCTACCTGAAATTAATTGTAAAATATGAGCCTGTTTACACTTGAATACACATATTCCATATCGTTTGATAGATGATGGAACCTACCATGCCTGCAACAGTGTGAAGCTCAGCTTTGATTACGTGTTGCTTTATAATCCTGCCGGCGCAGTGGTAGGGGCAGGTTGCAGTGAGACCGAGGTTGCGATGAGGAAGGGGAGATGTGAGGGCAGTGCCATGGGTCTCCACAGGAGCGATTCCCTCACCACGCACCGCTATCTCAACGGGACACGCCAGAGTGTTTAGAACGACCAGACCAGTTTGATCATGCCCTGGTACTTGTAATGTCGAACGCTGAATAAGAAAGCAAATTATCCCAAACTTATTTTGCTTGTAAACCCCTTTATTCTAGGTCTTTCGTGGACTTCAGATAATCCTCGACCACTTGTGTTATCACAGTTTTAGCTCTAATGTTTTTTGTAATTTTCATGAGATGGGTACGGAAATTAAAAACTAGTTACAACAAAAACATTTATCCAAAAATATGCGAGTTAAGTATTATAAGATTAAGTATACTATTGAAAGTTTTAACAAGCGTTACGCATAGCTAATAAAGGGGTTTACATTTTAAAACGCCTATCAATTTATTATGAGCAGTCAACCTTAAAAGTTTAATCACTAACATTCTTGTTGTCTACGTTCAGGAAATTATTATAAGGTCTTATTACAATGTGTTATTTAATATTACAGTCATATTATTAAATCACAAAACGTTTTTAACTTTAAATTTCTTTGTTTAAAATATATTCCATGGGATAAGGCACAGTACATTCTTAACCGAAAAAAACTGTTTAAAAATTAAACATGACGGTACACACCTCAATACCAATTTGCAATATCCCAGCCGACACGAAGGCCATCGCAGCCAACATTCCACCAATAAACATCTTCTGTAACGGCGGCAGATCTGGTAGAATAGGCCAAACACCGCCGGAACATACTGGTATCATCACCAACACCATAGCGGGATTCATCACTTGCAACTGATCCGGCATCAGCGTCATACCGAACACTTCACTGCGTAGTCTTGACGCTTGAAATGTCCAACGAGAACCCTAATAATAAATTGTAAACAAGATACTTAAAACACTATCAGGATTTTTTTACAGCGATTGTCGATTGTTTCGCAGCCAATTCAACTGTTTAGTTGCACGACTAAAAATGGAGTAGTGTGCGCTCCTCCATATCAGCTTATAGCAATCAAAGCGAAACTAAACAGTTGTGCTATAGTTTAGTCAAAGGTGTGCGCGCGCTCTAAGTCTTCTTAACCTATTTCTATGATGTTTTATAGGGCAATTTAACAAACTTGACAGTGTTATAGATTTGTTGAATAAGTGAAAAACTATAATTACTAGATTAACATTTTAAAAAAGATTCTATACTTTAAAGGTGTAATTTATAAAAGAGCTATTCTTATAATAAAAAATATACCTTAAACTAAGAGTATGCGTTTTAAATTGTTAAAATGTTTAGATACAACAAAGACTATATTCACCTGTTGATCGAAAAGCGACCAAAAAATTGGCACCGGTAGGTAAAGATATAAGATGGAGCAAACCACCTTCATATCAGAGACCAGCTTTTGGCCGTACTTTTCGGCTGAGTAGTCAAGCCAGTGGTCCAATGGAGGACCATCTGTGTTAGGATCGTGGCGTAATCGCTTTCTGAACGCGTACTAGAAATAAAACGAGTATAAACTAACAATAAATAAAATTGGACCATTGGGCTATCGAGAAATCGAATTCATAATTAAACCTTAATCTATAATCGATATAATGCAAGTATCGCAGCAGGTGCTATAAAGCAAACTTTTTATTTGCTGTTAAAGTTTCGTCTTTCACATTTGGCAGAGTTCCAACCCTAAAAACGCACCGGCATTTTATTAATTGATAACAAATTGCCTGGTATAAATTTTGTGCACATATTTTTATGCATGCTAGCCATATTTTTAATTGCCACAAAAGACACATCCACCACAAACAAAAGCGCTCGTTGCATAACACTATACTACACAGTGTAGCTAATATTTTGTTGACCCATCCATTGCGGCTTTCACTAAAGAATACAAATTTAAATATTTCGGTCATCTATCCTCTTTAAAATCGGCCATATCGTTATTCACGATATACATGATCCTATGTCTGTCGGACAAGGAAAGAACCGATGACAAAAATGGAAGCTTTAAGATAAAACGTCTATTATTACAACTTACCCAAGCACAAGCTGCAAATTTTAACGTAACATTGTCGCGAGGCTGTTTTATTCTGTACCAAGGCTTTCCAGCGATAAAAATTACTGAAAAGATAGTTATAGTTAGCAAAATGTATCCCAATTAACAATAAAATTTATTTTTATAATGCGTAGCGGTAGATAAGGAACAAACCAAGAGCACCCAAGTAAGTTAAACGCTTCATTTTTTCAACAAACTCACAATATCGTCATCTTCCTAATTAAGTTGTAATAGTATCGTAAAAGATTTTTACGAACTCTAAAAGATTAACCTATTTTCTCATATTATAGTAAAAGCTCACTTATAGACACAAGTACTAATAGAGCTGGAAATCCAAAGCCGAGGGCATAGCAGGCGTCATCACCGAAGCACATAACACTACGACGAAGAGCCGGAGTTACCACCATGCCCATGAAGCCACCGAGGTTCACGGTACAGTAGAACGTCGAGAAGAAACTTTGCAGCCGCTGATTGTCCTCAGGGAGACGAAACTGCAAGCGAAATTATTGTAAACTTACCCCATTAAACGTTCAACGATGTTATAATTTAACTGTGGGTAGTCTCTGTTTTGTTAAAGAGAATGAAAGGGATGACAATATTTATTAATACATCTGTTACTTCAGTAGTGTTCAATGCTAACATGAGTTAATTTTAGTGAATGTGAAGCGAATAGTCAGCTCGAACTCAAGCTGAATAGCGGCGTCTGTTTGTCGTATGTGTTCGTTTTCCAATTTCGTAATAAAAGTTACACAAAAAAAACCTTTTAATGTTAATCGAACAGATCAGTGAAGCCCGCATGAATAAACTCTAAAAACAATCGTGTTATTTCTTCAAAGACGATTTCCATTAGAACGACTAAAGACCAATCAAGATTATTTACACTGGACTAATCGCTCCAATCTACCTTTATAGGTCTGATGTTGCATGAATACGATATGAGATATGATGCAACCGTGTAAAGGATTATCAGAGTAGTAGAAATATTTCCCTGCTTTGATCAATCATTTCGATTCATTTCATCGCGACGGGAATATCATAGAAGTATAGAATGCTATATTAAAAGACATATGCTATTTCAATTCTACCTAAAAGATTCAACAGCGATTCAGTCGTCGATAGCTAAATACGGTTCGGACAACGGATCACAAGGTTATATGTTCGAATCCAATTCGACTAGTAATATAAAATATAAACCATATAAATAATTACTAGTAATATTAATGAATTTTAAATATACTTTTAATCTTAAGAATAATGTATTACATAAAGATTAACACACCTGATCACCCCCAAATGCTGCTACGCAAGGTTTTATGCCACCAGTTCCAGTCGCAATCAGCGCAAGACCGATCATCGAAGTAGTCCTAAGTATATATAAAACTGTAATGTATAACAATCTCTTAACATAAAAAAGGAATAAAAACGTAACCATTAGCATTGAAATAAATTGTTATATTAATAACAAGTTTTCGCTCGCGACTCCGTTTGCGTGGTATTGAAAAAAACAAAAGTGAATAGCCTATGTGTTCTTCCAGACTATCTTCTACGACTATACCAAATTTCATCGAAATCCGTTTAGACGTTTAGGCTACAAACTCTAACAAACATCCATCCATCTAAATTTTCACTTTTATAATATTAGTAAGAGTCAGATCAATAATGTATTTGAAGATACTTAAATGGGTACAAGAGTAGAAAAAAAATCCTATAGAACATTTTGTAGAACTTACGTAGCTGGTAACATTAACGGTGGTATAGCAGAGAAACATGTCAAAATTGTTCCAATCAAGTATATTATTGAGAAATATAAAATTACTCTGAAAAATAGTACATAGTGGGTACAGAGAAAAAAATATGATTACTAATGGCAATTTAATATGTTGTATTTATATTAATAAAATAATTTTACCTGTATCGACCTATAAAATTATCAGCTAAAATTGCACCCATCAACGGCATCGTATAGCACATCATTATAAATATATGATAAACTACGGTTGCAGCATTTTCATGCAGACACAAAACATTTCTCAAATACAGTGACAATATAGCTGTAAAAAAAATTAAAACAGTAAGGCCCTAATGCTATTACATAATTTATTTGAGTTTTAAATTTCGTAAGTTTTTTTTAACTACTCAAGTTTGCCCATCAAATAACAAAATCAACAGTGATCAGAAAAAAGTATGAGTAACAGAATTAATAACAAATAATTCATCAAACAGTGGTTGTTTTATAGTTTTAAAGTTCGAGTACGGTTTTAAACCTACTTACTCCTGAGTCCGCAGAAAGAGAATCGCTCGCAAAATTCTGTAGCAATTATACAAAATATTGATGTTGGGTGGCTGTGAAACATAATCACGTATTGAGGTAATGTGATAATTAAATTAATAAATAAAAGATATTTAAACGTGACTTGTGAGAAAGAATGATGTCAAAATGATTAGTAAGTGTCAATGGATTTTTTCATAAAAACTTTCCAGTCAATCGAAAATTTTTGTAAAAAAAATATCGCTTGATTTGGTAGAATCTAATTCCAAGTTATTTTTTTCTATTTATGATGATTGTTCGACTAGTTTTATAATATCCTACAGTCCCTTATACACCCCGGATATTTTTAGGTACTTAAGTATTTTTTAATATGCAAGAGCCAGAGCAGTTTTAGGTATTTTGGACCTTGATGAACTTATGGTTCTCAATTAGTTAATGGTTTTTATAGGTTCTTAATACATCCCACGCCACCTTTAATTCAACAGTTTTCAAATCAAATATTCCGGGCTGATGGTGTGCCTGATTTATTGTTGCCAGTAAAAATGCAAAAAAAGGTCTGACACGCTTCACTTAATTTTAGTAAAATGAAAAAGCTGTAACTACATAAATTTACCTAAATTGTTAACTTATGACATTTTTATGTAAATATTCATAATATTTTTAAATACAAATATACTTACATTCGCGAAGTATATTAGTAAAAATTAACATTATAAGGTTTTCGGACGTGTGACAGGAGAGGTTTGACAAGTGTTTGTCATATGAAATTGACAGTTTATAGACAACGCAAGTGATTATTGGTTGCGAAACGAAACCATATAAACTTTTTCAGTTACCATTACGACTTACGATTCGCTGTGACGTTTTTTAATTCATAAAGTAAAGTAAAAGTTTAAACAAATCTATAAAATACAGTCGCGTGTCCTAGTTTGTAGGTGTATTCGGCCTCTTTATAAATTGTGTCGCCTTTCAGTGTATGTTTTGAACGAGTAATTAATACAATGAAGCTTTGGCTTTTACTTTTACTGAATATCATAATTCTTAATGATCCAGTGAAAAGTGCATTCATAGCTGACAATGGAGACGTTGATGAACAGGGCCTGTATAGTAAGTCGGACCAAGTTATAATATTGACGAGTAAAAATTTTGATAGAAGAGTTTATGGTCAAAAACATTCGTTACTAGTGGAATTTTACAACAGTTACTGTGGACATTGTAGAGCTTTTGCTCCGAAATTTAAGAGTCTCGCTGCAGATATAGTATCATGGAAGAATGTTATACAGTTAGCTGTTTTGGACTGTTCTGTGGAAGAAAATAATGAAATTTGTAGACAATTTGAAATAATGGCATATCCATCGTTCCGATACATACATGAGAATTATGTTAAAGGAAATGCAAATGTGGGTGAACGTTTTGAATCTACGGATTCTGCTGAAAAGTTAAAAGCTCAACTTATTGTGAAACTGCAAACAGAGCAAAGTATGGGCCGTTTAAGATTTGCCCCATCACTTGATATTGCATCTTATGCCTCATATACTTCAGCGCTAAGTGATGTACCAAATGATGTGACCTATACATTCCTAGTATTTGAAAATGCTAATTCAACAGTTGGTTCAGAACTTGCCTTGGATACAGTGAACTACAAGCAAATTAGAGTCAAAAGAGTCTTTGATAATTGTGAACTGGCAAATATAGCAGGTGTTACTCACTTCCCAGGTCTGGTTGCTGTTAGAGCAACATTAGAACCCACACCATTAACTCCAAAAGTTCCAACAAAAGTGAACTTGCTAAAAGCTGTTAATACCTTCTTGAAATCTAAGAACTATGTATTCCCTGTATCAGAGACTAATGCAAAAGATAATAGTTTATACTCTAATTCTGAAGAGAAACTGAAACTGTCCAGTTCTGATGTAATTTACTATAGCGACTTGGAAAAAACTCTGAAGACAATATTCCATACGGAAATCACAAGACATAAGACTTTAAAGGGAGAAGAACTACAAGCTCTCTTAAACTTTTTGGATATCCTCGTGATTGCATTTCCATTCAAAGGTAATCTTAAAAGTTACACAGAGGATTTATTACAAACTCTTCGAACAAGAAACGAATGGGGTGGTAGTGAAGTTTACGACATAGTAAAAAGTTTAGAAAAAACTCATGCACCTGTGTACACTACAGATTTGGATTATATAGGGTGTAAAGGAAGCCAACCCAAGTACAGAGGGTACACATGTGGTCTTTGGACATTATTCCACACTCTAACAGTGAACTCAGCAAACAAACCTGGAGTGCAAGGTCCTAAAGTTTTAACTGCCATGCATGGTTATGTGAAACATTTCTTTGGATGTACAGAATGTGCTGAGCACTTTCAAGCGATGGCAACAAGAAATCGACTTTTTAATGTGAAGGAAAATGATAAAGCAATACTCTGGTTATGGATTTCTCATAATGAAGTTAATTTAAGATTAGCTGGTGATGTAACGGAAGATCCAGAACATCCTAAGATTCAATACCCGACTACTTCTAAATGTCCCGAGTGCAGACTTTCAAGAGGTGCTTGGAATTTGCCTGCAGTTTATGAGTACCTGCAAAGGGTATATGGTGCAGATAATATACAAGAGGGTCAGCGTGTTGCAAAATCCAGTGCAGCAGCACCGAGCCCATTCTCTGACTTGGACATCGGAATGTTAAGCCTCCTGTACTTATTATCTTTTACTATTCTTATTTTAGTTATTAAATTTTTCATTTCTAAACGTTTCCACAGAAAACGTCACTACAAGCATGGATGGGCTAAAATTTAACATCAACTCTTCTTGATACCACAATGTGCAATTACATGTAATTAAGCCTTACAGCACTCTGCTATTTTCATTTACATGGGCACAACTTTTATTCAGAGTGCTTATTTATCATAGCTCAATCATTCCATTATTTGTATATTTTTAACACATAGTGTAAGGTTCTATGTAGATATTTCCATATGCGAGATGATTTTATACCAAGGCAAATTATCACTCGCTTAAAGTTGTGATGATGACAATAAGTAATTTCATCACAATGCTTTGATAAAAACTTTTAATTTTTCATACCAATCCAATAATGAGTTAAATCTTATGGTAACAATTTGAAACTTTTGTGTCTACTTCTCTTCTGTTCTCTAATAACAATGTAGTTATGTTTGTTGTAATGGTTAGATAATTTTCTTTACAATGTTATTACACAAGCGTTATGTAGAAAATCTGTACTACACATTTAAAACAATTAGATTTGTTATATAAAAAGTCACAAACATGATAAGAATCTTAGGTGTATGGCTAATTTAAAAACAATTAGCTTAACAAGGAATTGAATATGTTCCTGACATAATACTGCCAAATGATAGTGTAAGTTTATTACAACGTCCAATTAATTAAATAAAAGCGATCACAATGAGACAAACCTACAGCCAAAGTAACAGCCTAGTGCATTCCATTAGAAAATATGTAAGCCCTTTTTAGGGAACGGAATTAAGACACTTGATGAAACAGGGTCTAAGGCCCAGCATTGCCTGGAGTGCATTAACACATTTATCGAATCATCAGATAACTTTAACTGTGTTGCTATATTTAAGGTAATTTTTGTCATCTATACACTTGAATATTATAAAATTTTTGAGCCATTCCTTAAAGTTTGCTTTACATGATGTTATTTCTTAGTTAAACTTTAATCGTATAGTTTTTTATTGCGCGATCCCCTACTTAATTTAAGCATTATTTCAATTAGTTTTAATGAAGTTTTAGAGCCATTATTACTTAGAGATATAAAAATACATTAAAATTATTAGTTGTTCTATTTTATGTGTAAATTTGTATAATTTATTAAATGTACAGGATTGTTTTATAAATATTTATGTATGTCAGGTGACTATTTAGTTAAACTGAGATAGGTGTAACTGTGGGGTTCCACTGTCGAAGCATTTGTGTAAAACATAGTATTATATTTGAAAATACGATAACAGTGTTTGCAAATGCGAGTGTTCCGATAGAGGAATTTTCCTGTAATTAATGATTTGTCAATTTTGCATAGACTGATTTGACATTGACGACTCGGTCAAGTAACTTAAAATGGAATCATTTTGTAAAAGCATGATTTCAACTTATTTCCCAATAATAGATATTTTAAATTCTTCAATACATAACAAGAATAGTATTTGTTAGTAACACAGATATGTGTTTACATGTGCCTTCATGCCTGCATTAGATGTAGGTAATATTTAAAAATTTAAACTGATGTTATCCTATCAGGTCAATAAACACTTTATATTGTATTAACACAATGTTAAATCGCGCCTTTTTATAGCATTTTTTATGTACTTGGAAAACTTTATATATACAGTTTTAACCTATTAATATTACAGTTACCAAATGTTCAAGTGCCTTTGAAACAGACTTCAGAAATACTACCATTTGAGTAGTTTGAATTTAGAAAACACTATACTGCCATAACTGTATAGTGTAACTACAGAGTCATTATCTCAATGTAATATCTATTAGTTTTATAATAAGATTGTGTTTTTATTTATTTATTTGGTATATGTACTTCTATATGAAATAGATGACTTATTATCTTGCATTTAAAGAAACTAAAAATCTCAAATGAATTTTTGAAATCCTAATTGGTTATATGTTAAAGTTTTATACGATTGGATCGATTATTGCAGTAGAAATAATAATAGTTAAAATACGAGAACAAGAAGTGTATAAAAATAATGCAAGACAGAATAAAAATGTAGAAACAGTGCCTTTAATATTGTTGTATTTAAACTGATTAACTATTTAGACCTAAGTCAATATTGCTATGAATAAACAAAAGAAGTTTAACAAATGATCTCGGTATTAAGTTTTCATAGATTATGGAATTTTAACAATTCGTTTTAATCACCTCAATCCACACCAAGTCGTCAATAAATAATAAGTCTATGCATGTTAATAAGCAATAATATTTAAGTGTTAGTAAAATAATGTTGGAAACAAAGGTACTAATATATATAAATATTTTGATATACATATATTTAAAGTGCAATGTATCACTATATTTGACCACACACACATATTTAGGCAGGAATGCTGACATTTTTTAGGACTACGAATTATATTCTGTTCCAAAACAAGATCTCTTTCGAACAAACATTATTCGTCGAGTTTAAACTGAACCATATTGTGATACTTGACATCTCTTTGATTAAATAGAGATAACACATTCGCATTGTTTACGTTTTCCCACAAATGTTTTAATTATGTGGAACAGTAATTATGAATTGGTTTTTCAATCTCATGGCAATGTGAATAACATTTTAGGAATACACGATTTTTGTAAGCGGAAATGTATTCCTCGTTTTTAATTAGTTTTTTGATTTGGAACAGTGTATAATACTAACAAATAAATGTTGATATAAAAAATTGATTTTATAGTTACGCACAGAGTAGATTGTTACACGGTAGGTTTAACGTAAATCAAGGAAAACTAAATTATATGTATTTTATACACTTGCTATATTCGAATACCGATTGTCTTCGTAGCATTACTGAAGTCCACTGGAAATGTGCCAAGCTGGCTGTTTGAGTCTTCGGAGATTATGATAATTTATTTATTCGTTTATGTTATTTCTAATTTATTAATGCCTGCTCGAGACTCTGATCTCGTTATATACACCCACTGATGGTCACTTGACCATGGAAATATCTAGTTCAAAGATGATCAGTTTATACCTTGTGCATTCCATTTATAAATTTCTAAAAATGTAATCAACAATCATTTTATCTTCTTTATTTTGATCATGAACTATGGAGTTGCATTATATTCTAAGTAATATTTTCATCCTCGACCTAGCCTTTGCACTACGGGGCTCGGCACATTATGTACTGCTGTTCCATACATCTCTCTCACCCGTTATATCTAAATTCTCTCCCTTTTTATCCATGTCCTCTTTCATACCATCCATCTATACTCTCTTCGGTCTTCCTATGCTTTTGTAGCCATCCACATTCAATCTTATTTCTTTCTTGTTAATGTGATTCTTAGTTATAAATTCATTGATAATAAATACGGTAGTGTAGTGCTACAAACATCACATTTAACGTACGGCATTAACCCAGACTTATTGGTAATAAACACTAGAAAATTGTTTTTATTTAAAGTTAAATTAATGATTAGTATATGACTTAATTTTGTAATGTTCAATTATTTTTGGTATCAAATAGTTTAAACAAAAGTGAATCTTTCTTTACTTCCATTTGGTTTCAAAGAATTTACTTACGTTATTCCAGACGTGTTTATATTTATTGGAGTATAATGCGACGTCAGTGTCTTCAGTTGGACAAACCAAATTAACGAGCCATTGTTACTTTACGCCAGTAGCACACAGCTGCGAATGCGAACCTAAACCGAAGCGATTTTATGTTTGATATGAAATTGGCATGTTTTTGGATCATTTCATTGTATTGTGTAACCTACGTTATTATAAAATTCAAACTTTATAGCGGCTCGTTTTTAGTGACGAGGTTTTAGTGAATCTGCCCAGAAATCGGAGCCACATTAGTCTCATTGTGATTGGAGGTAATTGTGCAGATGCCCCGTCCCTGCTTTAATTTTAGTTTTTACTGGATTTTATGCAACGTGTAAAATTACGAGCCGCCATTGTTTCATTCCCCTCAGTTCCTGTTTTCCCGACTGTGTGCTACTAGTGTTATTATTTAATGCGACAGTTAAAAATATTGCTAGATCGTACGATTTTATTAATTCTAATAATTTATTTTTTTAATTTTTAGGGCACTACGTTTATAAGAATGATGCTTAATGAATTTGTAATTTTTTTTTTATGTTTAGGCGAAAGTTGTTGAATTAATCATGTTATATTAAGTGGACTTTTATTACTTAATTTAGTAACTTGAAGGAACCTTTTTATAGTTATACTGTTTGATATAAAAATAATTTAAAACTTAGCCAAATTATCACAAGCTTCCAGGTAATGTAAGTTGTAAAATAAATTTTATATAACCTTTATACCTTTTTATGTTTAGAATAAAACGATCATATATGCTTTTTACATTTTAATATTTATAGTTACATACGAAATACATGTTTTGAACTAACATTTTATAACCTGGGTAGGTGGTACCCATGCATTGATTATGCACTAAGTGATATTTTAAGGAATTGATTTTTTAAAAAGAGCACTACAATTTTTACTTACAAATGATAGAAATGGTATTAAATTTTATACATCAAAATTGTTGATTGTTTTAATCATTAGATTTATAAATGTTTTTTAAAGTAATATGCAGCGTATTGTTGCAGTCTGATTTTCTGGCTGGGGATGAAATCGCCTCTATAGGCTAAGGTCAGTTAAAATTCGTAAATATTTATGGTGACGGGTTATTGTTATAAGATAACATGTTTAAGTTTATAAATTTATTGCAATAAATTTTGCAAACTGTTTATTTCAGCATTTTTGTTAGCTTCTATTCATGTAAGTAAATTCGCATTATTTTATTAAGTAAAAATTACATTGAAGAATAGTTAACAGTTACTTTAGAAAGATAGAATTTTAAGTATAATTTATAGAGAAATTCGTGTTTCTATAATTTTGTATTTATTGATTACTTTTAAGGTGAATCGTACTTCCAGTATCAATATTAAGAGAAAACACTTTTGTTAGAAGTATAAAGTTATATTATTTGGGTAATACGTAATATTATAAAGTTCTGATAATGTACTAAAAATATAGAATACCGTAATTTGTATGTTTTGTAAACACATTCATTATTCAATTAAAAGTAAATTGTGAGATGTAACCAAGAGTTACAAGTACGGTATAAAATATAAGGTCATCCATTTTGTATTTTTATGTTTAGAATAATCCTTGTATTATCTCATTAAATTATGCTAGTTTGTAAACGATTTTCATATGTTTTATGTGAGTTTACACTGCCGAAACACGTACAAAACATCATCGTTCTCAATCTATCTTATTGTACACTTCTGTTTAGAAATTCATGGTCATTCGTAGGAAAATATCTGATTTAAATAACTCATCGGCTTTGCTTTCATGTATGCTTCGCTTTACCTTAAAAATCTGTGTGCCTAATTGTTTTTTTCATATGGAATAAACTCTGAAAAGTGTGCGGACGTCATCTATAATTGCTTGCTTTCGAATTGTTGGGTATTGATTTTACGTCATAGACTTGGGTTCCAAATTATTTTAACATAATTCTTTACCTTTATTTCATGATTTCAAATTTTTAAATAAAATCAAAGTACAGATCATTTACATGTAATTATACAATATGTTAATATTGAAAATAATATTTCTGTTTTCAGGTACATGGCTTAAAGTCTTCCTTGCGAAATTGAACAAGTGTGAAGCCCGGTGTTAAAAATATAATTAAAATTCATACTGATTATAAGGCTTATTCATTAGTAACGTAGTAGACTGATCGACTCCGCAATTATATCAGTACAACAAATATTTTCAAACAAATTTTATAACAACGAATATTGTATGTAGTTGATCTCATCATTGTAATGTTTAAGGTCAAAATGTAGTTGGTTTTCCTGAATTGTAATATAAAACGGCATATTTACAATTTCATTCATACTTAAGAAGTTAAATAAAACCTTTGTTATAATTTGTGTTTCTTTTCATTCCCTATTCGTAATTATGGTTGTTGGAACAGGACCAGGAATGCAAAGTCGGATTTAAACCCAGAAAGATATTAATCGGTGATTGACTTATTCCGCCTTTTCTCTTTTTTACAAACAAAAACTAATGTTAAACTAGTTACTAGATAAGTGGGAAACGGGGTCCAAATGAAGCTTATGGAAGCTAGAGATAAATATCTCCATTACACGAAATGAATTAAATAATGATTTTGTACTCCAGACGGTGCTTTATATCTGTACCAAAGTTCATTAAGGTATGTATTAATGGATGGTAACTTATTCAGGGATTAAAAAAGCTTATTTTTTCTCCCAGACTCCTACATCGATGCAAAATTTAATGGATATCCTTTCAGCCGTTTAGGCTACAAACTAACATCTATAAATCATTTCGCATTTACAATAGTAAGATTGATAATGCTACAGTATCGTTCTAGAATTAGCCACATACTCAGATAACCTATGGTCGCAGAAATATTTAGCTTTCGCGTTCTACTGACCGAGGTTAAAAACAAAATTAATGTGATTGTGGTTGTGACCTCTGTATAAACACATACATAAATGTATACTATTATAAAGAGAAAAGATTTGTATTTTTGTTTGTACTGAAATGTCAAAAAGTACTGGACCGATTTAGAAAAAACCTTACCCCATTAAAATCCAAGTTATCAATGAGTAACATAGGCTATATTTTTAATGTATTTTAATTTCTCGCGAGTGAAGTCGCGAGCAATAGCTAGTCATTTTTTTTTTATAACATAAGTTGGCAAACGAGCAAGCGGCCACCTGAACCCGCCAAAATGGCGAAGCGACCGCTGCCCATAGACATCCGCAATTGCAGATGCGTTGCCTAACCTTATCCGACAGAGGAGACGCACATAAAGAGGATATCTCCCCTTCCTATGTATCTCCTCCTCCGTTAAATCCACTTCCTCTTCCCATCCTCTCCTTATAAGAAAAGGGTGGTAAAGAGAAAGGGATTTAAATTAGGCCGCCGGCACCACACTCATCAGACGAAACACGGAATTGCTTCCATTTCACACCTGTCTTCTGTGTGGTCGTGGTATTACACCGGGCGTGCCGGCCTATTCGTGCTAAGATGTTAAAGCGGACACTACCACTGTTAAAATTGTGAAAAATTGTATGTCTAGATATAATATTAATAGTGCTCAAGGTCATAGACATGAGTATCTTAACTAGTTATGAAAATTTTCATCTGAGGCAATCAAAGTGTAAGGTGTAGCGAGATATTTCTTATCGCCATATCAATAGGTTTTGTTACCCTTACGATCTTTCTAACATTAGATTTTTTTATCACAGAATTTTCATAACACATAATGACACTATTTACCTAGACAGGCCTTTTTTTAATGTGAGAAAAATGCCACACGTATATTGGCGGGGCTACAGGAAGACTTTCGCTTACATCCGTGGTCTCCCCTGCCTACGCCAGCCGCCGAGGCAGCTCCGCGTTTGGTAAGAGCAGACTATGGTGTATTTGTTGATATTTCACTATACCTATACTCTTAGATACAGTTGCCACATAACGGCTAGCCGCGGTGTTCGTAGCTGTTTTCTGTATAAAATCGCATGAACGATTTCCACTAGCGCGGCTGGGAGTATGCGGGTAGCCACAGTGGAATAAGACACTTAGTACTTAGATACGTACGAGTACGTTCTCTATCAACGATACAGCTGGTCTCCACTCAACGATATAGTTATTCCCATTCTTACGATGCCCTAAATAAGAAGTTTCCGGTTGGCAACATCACTCATCTTTGTATGGCATTAGCTTTGCAATTCGTATTCCGCAACCGCTAAAACTGAAAAAAAATCTTAAGGGGATCACGAAGATTTTATATTAAAAATGTATAAGGATTGTTTATGAAAACATTAAATAAAACACTAGAAAAGTTTTATTTTTTATTGCATATACATTAATTATGCCAATACACTTACATACATTGAAAATTGTGATTCACACAGAAAGGAAGATACATGTGCATCTGTTAGATCGCCAAAGTACATCATGTTACACAAATGGCTACATAGTAAATATTAAAACACATTAAACACTCATGTTACATGGACACGAGCGTCGCCAGTCTATGATATGGGCTACATTTAGGAGGGATACTACCAATAATATAGGTTAGTTATTTTTTAGGTTTTTAGTCTGCAGGTGGGAGCTGACCCCCTCATACCTTCCCCTGGCGACGCGCATGGTGGACTAGTTAAGACTGTAGCGACATAAGCGATAGCTTTATTCAAAATCACACCAAAGTTGAATTAAATCCGACTTAAAAACTAACTACTAACAACATATTGCTTAATGACACAACGATTCCAGTATTACTTAAGTTGTTTATAACTTTAGTTACTCGTGACTCTTAATTAGTCTTTCTGTAAACAATCGAGTTAATTTTAATTAAGATTAATATAGAAACGAATAAATTAAAAATAATTTGTGCTTTACATGCAGATTAAATTAATAAACATTGTAAATAAAAAGTAAATAACTATGTTTTTCACTTAACTCATTAATAAAAAACTCTCAAGTATATTAACCTAACCAGGGTAGACGGAGGTGGAAAAGACACATGCCTTTTATTTATCAAAATATGGCAGGCAGTGAAAACGTCATCTTGATATCAAAATTCCCAGAAGAATGTCAAATCATAATTTATCAATAATTCTGGATTACAAATCTAACGCAAACTACAAAGTAATAAAAATTAATTATCATTAAAGTACTATTAATACTTATATTATGGCATCTGATAACTAAGAAATAAAATGTATAAATAACTCGTACAGACGATAGTGCGCAGTTAGGTATAAAATGCAGTAAATACAAAAATACAGCTTCGATTTTGTTATTTAGGTAAGGCAAAAGCTATAGAAATGCAAGTCATAATACACGTGCAGAAAAGCCATGTGTATAGACTATGTACATAGTTATAATAGAGTACATAATACACACAGGCAATTGTTTGCGATTTCTTATATTTAGTTCAATGTCACAGCTCCTATATTTATCGAAAACCCCTGTCTATACACACGAACAAGGATCAAATTGACTATTAAAAGTCTGAAAGTTAAAAAATCTATTTGATCGTTGACAATCAACACTAGCTCCCAAAATACTCTAACGTATATGTATCAAACATTTTTTTTTTATTTTATAGATAAACCACATTACGTCTAGAAATGCGCTAGAATAAATTTCAAATTTCTATACCAAAAACCCTTATGAACACCAAATATTTTCATTTACCCTAACGACAGTTTAGCTAAATAAAAAAATATAGATTATAATTTTCTTTTCTTTACATGTATAACAGTCATTTGTAATCTACGTTTGCGAATTTCGGATTGGTCGAAACGTTAAGTAGAAAGTTTGCTAGGATGTACATTTCTTTAACACAGCATTTGCTACACATTTCTAATATTTTTACGCCATTCTAAATTTCTACAATATCCAATGAAAATAATTCTCTGGAAATACCTATATTATTGACCGCATGGTTATCTTAACGTAGGTTACAAGGAATCAGCTGGCAGTGTCCACAGGCTCTTTAATTCTAGACACGCACTCCGGCGGATCTGCTCAATAAGCACCTAAATTAGTAGATAAGAAGTTATTGCCACATTAAGATATTGTCCTAATCTACTATAAAATGTTTGTTACTGAATCAATAAATTTCGTTGCCGATGTTAAGTAACATCCGAGTAAACTATAATGTTTACTACAACGCAAGAAAATGTCTTGGTGTTCGTTATATTCACCTTTTCAAAGTTTATGTATTCGTTTTTTACATATTATATACTGTCAGTGAAAATCGCTTAACAGATATTAAGCAATCCGACAGTTAAACATACGATATCTACGTTCGAAAGTCTACATCAATTATATTGTTCAGGTAGCCAATATTATTTGCAATAAACAAATAAATTTCCATGCAGTATAGAGCACTCTAAGGAATTGTAGTAAAAAGGACCTTGCAATAATTTAAAACCATTAATAAATATCAACTTTTTCCGTTCTACAGAAGATAAAAACTGTTAAAATCTTTTCCGTGGTTAATTATAAACGCTATAGCAAACATTAAATAGTAGACGTAAGTAATAAAGATTCTACAGGTGACTTAGATTAAGATACTAAACCTAATAAAATCGATTATAAAAAATGGAGGGAATTCACAAATTGCATTTCATCCAGAGATTAAAGAGCCCGCGCGACAAAAACACACTGAATTTCTACAAGCACCTTGTTTACTTAAACATATCCGAGTTCTAAATGTGAAAAACTAGTATTGGCGGAGTCGATACACGTGGAGCTTCCAAACTAACGTCATAAAAAACAATGTCATATAAAAATTGTTGCGTAAATTTAAAATAAAATATTAACGGCACAATGGCCTTATACAACATAAAGCAAGTTGATACAGACACACAAAACTAACATCGAGTTTAGATAAAAACATTCAGTTAACGGAACGGAGATACGAAAACATTTACTGTGAAGTTTTAGACGGCGCGAAGACCCTGCAAAAAAAAATTCATTAAGAATTTGAACCCACATCAATATGACTTAACGTCTTTTGTTTGACATTACGATCAACCATTGTGGCGATATCTACAGAAAGAATAAGTAAAAATTATACAGTTATTTTGCCTTGAATTAAAATGTCTTATTATCTGTGTTGGTATTTAATGTGTCATTACTACGTACACAATTGAGATAATTGTCCCTTTAAAAACACTTAATAATCAAAATAAATTTATCAATATCACGCATTATATTAAGGTCATAAAATACACTAGACAGAGAAATAAAAACAATACAAACAAAGGTTTTTCTTTTTTCAAAGCGCTTTTTGTATGTATCATTCTTCTTAGTTCATTCGTAAGTATTAGAAATCGGTATTTAAAATCAATATTTACGTAGTAATTATCAATATATCTTTATTATTCAATACGTACAACGTATTTGACTTTGCAAGATGACAATATCCTATGATATAAAGTATACTTCATTATGTTCAGGTGAATTTAAGGAATTAAAAATTTTAATATAGTTTATAGAACCTAATTTTAGTATTTTCATAACAAGCCTTGCGATAGTTGGATTGTTATATGTTTGGATATTACTATCCATTCATTTTCTCTGGGAAAAAAGCTGAATGTTTTCAAATTTATTAGAGTCTATATCATAAAATTGTTTGCATGATAATCAGAAAGAAATAATACTATATATAATTTTAATAGGTTCTCGAGTCAGTCCGCTGTCAAAGGAACATTGTCTAACAAGACTCGACGGCACGTAACAAAGAACACATTTGAATAGTCTAGAATCTAAACTGATATCGTGTATATTCTACTTTTAATTATAATTTTAAACGCAATAGAAAAATCTAGTGAGAAAAGTCATGTTGGAAAAAATGGTATCCAATTTTCTATTCTTTTTCTTCCACGGTAGGGACTTCACATGACAACGCGGCTAATCACAAGTTTCCGTAAATACATTACTTACCATTGAATAATGTTGCTATGTTAAAATTGTACAAACACCAATATTAATTGTTTAGTCACGCCAAGATCTGCATCTATACTTGCCTCAAAGGGATAAACTTGTCTAGTTATCCACTTCAGTTATCGTAGTTTGCGCGCGGAATCGCCCCGCGCCGTGGGCGTGGGCGTGGGCTCCGACAGCGCCTAACCAACACCGTGCAGTTAATAGCGAAGCGATGAATTAGTACAACACATGCATGATACAGTACAGCACACAAATACGATGCCAAAAAGTCTTGTTCATCATCCGTTCAAACTTAGATCCTCTTAGGCCTTGACTCGTTGATTGGTATATCGCCGCCAAAAACTTGACGAATACTTGGCCGTCATTCCTTGGACTAGTACTCTTTATGGTTTAAATATAAACATTTCATTTAACCAATCGACAATATTTACACTTGGATAATCTAATTACCTTACCTTTGAGGAAAATATATTTGACCTTGAAAATAACAACGTATTTGCGTGCTAACCAATCAGGACAGTAACAAGAAACATAAATAATGTAGTGTTATTAGGCATTTGTTAAAAGCAGTGGAAACCGTATTTTATGGTTTAATGAAAATCACTAAGTTTATTTATTTCCGAAACATTATTATAATTTGGAGTCTTTATTAGTATTTCTTTCTCGTGCATATGAAATATTAATTTTCTAAATGAATTTAAATTGATTGGATACATTTGCAATGGTTAAAATCCGTTCGTTGTGTACGATAATGATTACAACCATTCATTGTTGATATGACCTTTTAGCATGATTACATCATCGCTATACATAATTGCGCAAAAGTTGTAAGTAAAGATAGTGGCTTCAAAATTAGAGAGTAGATAAACAAATAGGGTAAATTAATTAATTGTACAAAGTAGTAAAATTTCTACAATAACACATTACAGAAGTCAATTCTAGTTAGATACTTTTGTGACAGTATATGTACTGATTACCTTCTAGAATGTTCTCAACGTTCCTAACAATCGTCAATGGCTCAAAGGAAATTGTCAATAACTGTATATTCATGTTCAATCAAAATGCTTCACTAATACAGCTCCAAGTACCAATTTCAAATGCGTACACATTTTTTAAACTCTTCATATTTATTAGATTTAAAATGTATTATAGATATTGTTAAAAATAGTTTTTGCGGGTTTTATAAATATTTGAGACCAATAACGTTACAATACAGTGCGAGTTTTACACGATAGTATTAAAAACGGATTGTAATTCAATCTATCTTCTATACATATAATGAAATTGGAGTGTCTGTTTGTAATAAATAAAATTGTCTGTCAGTCTGTCTGCAAGCCGCGCTTGTTCCAGGCAATCTCCGAAACGGCTGGATCGATTTCGACCGGACTTTCACTGATGGCTAGTTGACATAGACGGGCATATTATAGGCTACTTTTTATCTTATAGTCCAAGAAAGAAGTCACGGGCAACGATTAGTAGACAAAATGATTCGTATTGATTTAAGTCATGTAACATTCCAACGACTAAACATGTTCTTATATCTTTTAAATCCTATACCTTTTGCTCATTTGAAAATACCAATAAACGTATTCTTATAAACGTTCAAATATGATTATATATCGGTTTACATTTTCCGTGAGAAAGCTGTAATGTTATCAAAACAACGATAGCCGGCCATCAACGAGCTGAGACAAATTGATTTAATTCGTCACGTGCAAACCAACGGTTGTGTTTAATAACGCAAGCCCGCGTTACCACGAGATGTGAAAAACTATGCATCAACAAAAGGTAATGATTAAATTGCATGCCTGTTACATTGATTTATAGTAATCACTAGCTTTCGCCCGCGACTCCGTCCGCGCGGATTTAAAATAACAAAACGCATGTAGCGTCTGTGATCTACAGCTACAACCTTCCAGATTGTTCTCTACATCCATGGCAAATTTAATCGAAAACCGTTCAACCTCTTAGGCTATAAACTCTAACAAACATCGATCCATCTAAACTTTCGCATTTATAATATTAGTAAGTATGTTTACTATAATATCCTACACACACATGCATCATTTACTATTGCGTCATTTGTACACATATATGACGCAATAGTAAACGATATTAAAGGAGCAATTAATTGACATTTAAGCGATTGAAAAAACGTATCTCTACTTGTATTTATAGCTTTCTACGTACTATTCTTGACTTATATTATTGTCTACCAATCATTAATATGTTTAAACACTAATTATAGTTTGTTAATGCCCTTATCAAATAATTTACACCAAGCGACCATCATATATGCAGATTATAGGTACACCATATACTACATATGCCAGTATATTTAATTACAAATATACATCATAAAAATATGAGTTGAAAAATAGGTCATAAACAATAAATGGTTTAAGATAAAAGTGATTTTCGACCGATGTGAAATTTATATTAACATACTAACTTTCACCCGCGACTCCATTCGCGTGGAATTCGCGTTCGGAAAAAAAGCCTATGTGTTCTGTGCTCTTTATCTATACCAAATTTCATCGAGATTCGTTCAGTAGTGTAGGCTATAAACTAGTAACAAACATCCATCCATCTATTTAACATTCGCATTCATAATATTAGTAGGATTGTTGTCAATGTTTTTTGTGTGATGTGTGAATACAAGTTTCACATCAGTCGAAACCCGCAGTTAGTGAGAAGAAAACAAAAAAACACACATTTGATTGTTAAACACCAGTGAGCTATATTAAACAAGTGATATCTAATGAAATTGAATAAAAATGTCCTTTAAAACCTCGCGAGCAACAGGGGTGATGTGTTTATACACATTTGAGATTCCCGTATTTACAAAAACAGTGTTATGTGAATCATAAAATCCCAACTACAGTACAGTCGTTGAAATTCGCGGTGCACCAATTACAGAAAAAATTCCTCATTGATTGCAACGAAAGAAACTTCGCCGCTTAACACAAACTTCTTACAAAAACCAATTAACCGTGTACTACAAATCTACATTTCATTTATATACATTTTAACGTTTCTATTGGTTACTGTCCCGTGTTGTCTCAATGCGTACAAAGGTTTAAATGGAAAATTTAATATGAAACACCACGAAAGTCCACGATTGTACATCCCTAAAACACGTTATTAGTGATGAAACACGGAGAAGCGTTATTTATGCGATCATTACGTTTATATCGATTATTCGTAATAATCATAGAATTTTTCCAACACTTTAAAATTTAGCATTACCTATAGTGTCTTGTGTAATGTGTTTGTATGTGGATGGGTACAAAAAGTAGGAAGAAAGGGTGGATTGTGTGAAGGACGTACTTAAGAATTCAGATAGGATATACATGTATGAATAACACAGAGATTTAAAAATGTATAGAGTAAGCATAGTTGACACTTCGTTTAAAACAGTTTTTAAATAATATCAAAATCACAAATAATTCAAACACTGAATAACGTGGCGTGTAAACATTTAGATATTACCATACAAAGAAGTTACCAGTAAAAAAATGTTCCCGTCTAGTCTGTATTTTTTAATGTCTTTTTTGATTTGATTACTGAATGCTATGTTACCTTTGCCTTGGAGATATCGACTCCGGTAACACCTTTGACCAGCTCCGGTATGCATTGGACGATGGTGAGAACTTCTCCGGTAAGCTTCGCAGCGCCAACTTCGCCACCACCACATGACACCATTGTCACCTTGCGAGCTTGCGACAATGGTGCTGCCACCTCCGCTGCGACCTACACGATATAATAAAAATTAAATAGTGGTAGATCCCGCTTTAACATCTTCGCACGAATATGCTCGCCCCTAGTAATAGAATAGTAATAGCCCCCAGTAATACCACGACCACACGGACAGGCGTGAAGTGAAAGCAATTCCGCGCAGTCTGATGAGTGTGTACCCGGAGGACCAATTTTAGTCCCATTCTCGTTCCACTCTTTTCTTATAAAAAAAAGGATTTGATGAGAAAGTGGATTTGACGGTGGAGGAGACTGGAAGGGGATATCCTCTTTATGTGCGTCTCCTCCGTCGGATAAGGGTAGGCAACGCATCTGCAATTGCGCATGTCTATGGGCAGTTGTCGCTTAGCCATTTTGACGTATTTAGGTGGACACTTGCTCGTTTTTTACCTTATTGTATATAAAAATGACATACCTGTTAATAAGGCTATTATAGCGTCAGCTGAGATTTTTGATTTAACATATCTATACTAATATTATAAAGACAAAGGATTTCTTTTTGTATGTATTGGTGTAACTCAAGAACTACTGGACTGATTTCTAAAATTCTTTCACTATTAAAAAGCTACGTTTTTACTGAGTAATGCTATATTTTTAATTTCACGTGGGCGAACTCGCAACAGCTAGTACTACTTTTTATATGAAACCAATAAAAAAATACAAAGAATTTACACCAAGTTTCTGAAGTGTCCATTTATTTTAATTTTAACTAGTGAATCATTAGTGTTAGTAGACCCTAAATTTTAAAGTAACTCAAGTTACGTATCGGAAACCTATTTCATGAAGTTATCGAGCCAAAAACACTATCGAATAGTTAAACATGGGTGGGAAACCGGGCATTAGTTGTAATTTTTAAAGTAAAAATTAATTTAACATTAATCTTCGCTCCAAAGTTTGAATTATATATTAAGAATTTCAAACATTAATTTTATCTAAATACCTTTGGTAATGTCTCCAGCATCATATCAACCATAGCCGCTGATCCATATTCCTTCCAAGCTTCAGCCTTCTTTGCCATTTGTTCTGCATCTGCCGCTGCCTTCGCTTTAATAGCATACGCTTCCGCCTAAAAAAAAAAGTTAAAATTCATTTATTAATCCCTTCATATTTGATCTTGTGTCTTTAAATTTTTTTTTTTCAGTATAAACATACAATAATCAGTGATACAATAATTAGTTGAAAAATGCTTTTAATACATTTATTTTAGTACAATTTATATTTCATATAATTATGTAACATCGTTCAATTTTCAAGGAAGGTAAAAGGGAATTTTTCCAATGTAAATTGACCTTAAAGTGTTTGATCAAACATATAAAATATGGATTATCTTAGCCTGGATATTGTCACTTTAACAAAACCACTCAAACAAAGTGGCAAGCTTATCTTACTAATATTATAAATGCGAAAGCTTATACGGATGGATGTTTGTTAAAGTTTGTAGCTTAAACTGCTGAATGGACCTTGATGAAATTAGGCCTAGATGTAGAGGATAATCTAAGAACACATAGGCTACTTTTTTTAAATTCCACGCGGACGGAGGCGCGAGCTGTACATAGTTAATAATAATTACCTCTCCGCGAACTTTAACAGCCTCGGCTTCAGCCTCAGCTTCGAGAACAGTCTTCAATCGGTGCGCTTCAGCCAATTTTTCCAGTTTAAACTTCTCTGCCTCCGCTGGTCTATGAAATTATACAAATAAGTTGGTAACTTTGTCCAATCGCATCAATTACCCTGTACAAATATTATACAGGGTGTAAAAATATTGGGGGTGTCTTTTCCAATAGTTACTATTATCAAGAATAGGATATTTGGCAATTAAAAAAGGTAGAAAATTAATATCATAAATGAAAAAGTTTAGATAAAAGGATGTTTGTTAGAATATATCTCCAGGCTGACTCAACGGATCTAAATAAAATTAGTCACAGATATAAAACATAGTCTAAAAAAAATATATATGCTACAATTTTTTTTTACTCCGTGCAGCCGAAGTCGTAGGTGACAACTAGTTTTAAAATATAATCTTGAAAAATTTGATAAATGATAATAAAATCAAGCATAACTTAAACAAATGTAAATATCTCTCTGGTATTTTATCTTGGCTTCTAACATCTTTATCAAATTCTTTATCGGATTACTAATACGTCATTTGCACTTGTTTTTTTCTTTCTATTAATAGTTTATAATTTTAAAATTCAAAAATTAAAACTGTCTTTGAGCATTGAGCATGATGATTCAAATGATTTTAAAATAAAAGTGGGAATATGAAAAAGGGAAATATCCACTCTCTGTATGTCTCCTTTTACTACCTTTACGATGACTTAGCGAAATCATCTCACGTGCCTTTGCCATTTTAGCGAAATCGTCATATGTGACTTCGCCATTTTAGCGAAATCGAAATCAAAATGTTTTTCATTATAGGGAAATAGGTATAGAAAAACTGACCTGCGCACAGTTGCGTCTAATTCCTTTTCCCGTCGCTGCACCTCCCACTTCTGTACGTTTATCTCTTGGGAACGTTCCACGACCGCTATTTGCATTTGTTCCTCTTTAATGCGTTGCTTCGTTTTAGCCGCTTGCAGTTCATATGCCATTTCAGCCTCAGCCTGTAATGATAATTAATATTATGATTTTAATATTGAATATTTCATTTCCTTTGTTATTTTGCTTCATACTTTAATTTTTAACAACACACAATTACAATCAATACTGAGATCTTTAAAAATTTAACTGACAGTTCCTATTTTCCTATAGACCTTCAATTAAAAGTGTGCAGTTAAAAGTAACAGTGTGTAAATAAACTTAAAACTCTTGAGATGAACTAAAACCATAGTTGTATTTGAGTTGCTAGAAATTATCTAATGGAAAGATTAACATGATTAGTGTGTATGTTTTGAGTGGGTTTGTATTTATGTCAATTTAACTGTAACCTTGAATTCTAAACAACTGGACATATTTCCCAGAGTGAGGTATCATTCAAAGAGTTAATAGGGTTTAGATTTTTACATTTAAATTTACCTTTTTAGTTTGTACTTCAACATCGTAAGCAGCTTTTTTCAGTTCGAAATCTCGTTGAGCCTTAGCTATATCGGTGTCGTTGAGGAAACGAGCTGCCATTCGTTGTTCTTCAGCCATTGCTTCTTTGATTTTTGCCTCAGCTTGAGCCTCGGCCTCTCCGATACGAGCATCTCGTTTCACCTCCGCAGTTCTCGCCATACCCAGCGCTTTTAAATAACCCTGTGCAAATAATTAAATTTTATTTAAATTCTATTAATGTATGTTACCACACCTGTGTAAGCACATCTATAGTATTTATCACAATAAATGAGCAAAAGATATAAGACAACTGGAGAAGACTTTTACATAATGCCTTCTTATTATATAGAAAAAAATACCTGCTCATTTATTAAAAAATACTAAAGATGTACCATGTAAATCAAACATGTGTGCAAATCCACAGATTAAAAATCCATGCAATGTGCTGTTTTATTCATTAGATCAATTCCAGAATTTATTAAATGCTTACAAAGATATTAGATTTACTTGAAGATCTACTAAGATTAATTTACAATAGGAAAAGGCTACATTGTTACAAATATTAGTTGAAAAGATCAAAATCTTAAAATATAAATAAAGTAAAATCAGAATGTATTAATATTGAAGATATACTGAGTTAGCAATTATTCATTCCTACTCTGTATTACTAAAAAAGATTATTAAGATAAGACAACATTTCTTCAAGCACTTAGTATAATTAAAAACACTTTGAAAGGGATGAATTTCGGACAATTGATAGTTTGAAAATTACTCAGCTTAAAAATAAAAATGATAGCTTGCGGGTTTATGAAATAATAAAAGCCCAAAGACTATCAATTTCATTTTATATAATACCTATTACTGCAAACAAAAGGCATCATAAGCACACCAATGCATACATGCATACAAGCTCTGAGAAAGTTAGCTGTATTTTTTTATTATTCCACACATAAAACATGTAACATCCTTACATACTCTTTAATTTCATTAAAGTGGTTAAGGTGTGGTGACACTATTATGACGTAATTTTCAATTAAGCGTTAAACAATGTGATGAGTTAACGACCGGATTCATTTCGGCCGCAATGTCGCTTCATACTAGAACGACTTATATCCCTACATTGTAAGTTTTATGAATACGGGAAATAAAATACATACATAAGGCTACAGGGGATTTTTTAATATCATATGTGTGATTCATATTGTACATAAGATATTACGCCTATAAATGTCGCTTTAATTACTTTTTAAATATGATTGATGACATTAGTTTAATATTAATATCTTAAATTATTGCTTATTAAACATTTTTCATTCCAACTACAAGTTCTTTATATCAAAAAGAACTCAACAGTAAAAAATTGAATACATATAATTTTAAGAATAAAAGGGTATTATATAGTTGTTTGTGTACAATTTTAGATTTAAAACCACAAAACCAATTTATAAATAGCTATAATAATCGATGGCCTAGCTTCTATTTTGTTAATATTTAATGTACTTCAAGTATGACTCATGTACAGCTATAAATTACTATGACCTGTTTTTCCTGGCATGTTATCTTTTACATCCGATTTGTATTCAGATGGTATAGCATTATTAGAATGGAATTAAATGTATTTAAATAAAATGACAACTAACATCTACTAAACATTACTGAAAACATATTGTACACACTAGGTCTATTAAAGGGACATACCTTTGCTCCCTGGGGCCATGTCAAAAGAAAAATAAATCTACTGAAATACGTGAAACATGATAAAAATGAGAAGTAGCCACCATTGTGACTGTTAGTGTACATACATTTATAACACCGTGCAGAGTTGAAAAGAAGTATATGTACATAAGTAATGAATAAATAATAACTTAAATTTAGTAAACACAAATGATGGCTACAACCATGTATAACTTAAATATTTATGACAGCACTTTAGTAAAACTACATCTCAAATTATAATAGATATATCTTTACCTCTTCATCCCTGATGTCTTTTAATGTATAAGATACGACTGTAATACCCATATTGATAAGATCACTTGACGCCACTTCGAAGACCTAAAAATATAGATTATTAATTGAGAAAAAACTATGCAGGGCAATCTTGGCAACATGCCTAATGTATTCTCAACAACTTTAGCCTCTGTTCAATAGACTGCATCAAAATAAATTACTGCCTATGAAAAAATTTGAATTTATTTGTGTAATAACAGCATAATGCCCACAAACAATTTAGAAAGACTGCAACAACAAAGACCAAGAATAATGACAAATCTCATATATATCACTTTGGCACTATAATTTATTTTTGACATTTACTCTCCAGGCCAGTTCTCCTTGCCATTCCCAACTATCTACTTTTCTTTGCATATTTAAAATTGGTAAAATTCAATCAATATTGAATTTCTTCCTTCCTAATTCCTTTCCTTTCCTGTATAATAATTTATAGAAAAACTCACTTTTTTGGAGAATATCTTCCTATCTTTGTAAATTTCTTCCACTGTCATAGATCCCATGATAGCACGCTGGTGTCCTTCGAGAGTTACAAGGGCTATATGTTGGATCTCCTGCTCCGATTTGCCAAGAAACTGCTCACAAGCCGACAGCAACATTTCGGCATTCTGACCTTGAATCTTCACCTGAAAATGAATTAATATTCATACCATTTAATTTTCTTTACATTTGTAGTTCAATGTTACCACTGTAAAATATTTTAAACCTTTCTTTTATTAGTATACCTGAGCAATTCCTGTGACTGAAATTGGTACGCCTTGACTAGTGTAGACCGTTGGCGACTCAACTTGAAGTGTCATTGTATTGAGTGATATTTTCTGGACACGCTGTATAGCTGGCCATACAAAAGCTCGTCCACCAGGGACAAGAAGTGGCTTGGAGTAGCAGCATCCTAGTCAAAAATTGGCTCTTGCATAATTAAAACCATCCTCAGCAACAAACAAAAGACAATCATTATGAGAATTTGTGCCTCACATATTTCTTAAAAAACTGGTTTAAGTCTGAACTGATGTTTAGTTTTATATAGCTTTTTCCCTATATCAATCAAGATGAGGTAACTATTGTGCAATTTCAACACCAATCAAACATCAAAAGCATTAAATAGTATTCAATATGTTAATTGGTAATGCCTCTTACTATGATTTTGTTGTTAAATGTTATGAATAGAATTACCATTTTTGTACTTTCATTAATAAACTAACAAACAAGTAACAGTTTATATAGGTTTTTTAATACGAAATACGAGCAAAAATTATTTCGTGCACAGCAAAGTATCAATTTGCAATTGAATTAATTCGCCTAAGCTTATGCGCTACAGAAAAATTAACAAATAACATTAAGATAAGTGTATAATCGAGTAACGTTTAAATGTTTTTCACAGCAACAACAAAGATTTTTTAATAAAGTAATGCCCAGCACAACTTTTAGGCGGTCTTTAAAACTTACCTGACACAACTAGTGCCTCGTTAGGGCCACACGTTACAAAGCCCCAAGTCATTTTCAATTATGTAAATAAAGCAAGATATATTAAAATACTTAAAAATCAAATAAAATAAGACACTTGAAATTAGTAGAAACCAAAACACGGATGGGCTTCCCTGCGAAGTGGTGTGAAGGTCATAGATAAACAATAAATCACAAACATTTATATGGGTTTTATAACTTATCTGTGTAGGTGTATCACTGAACTGTATTCTAAATGGATAGGCGGTTGTTTAGCAATGACAGCTTTTGCTTTGTTCCGACTTAAGCGCGTCTTTTGACAATATTGACAGTTTAATCTTTCTCTATTAGAGTACTAATCCTCACTACCCCTACTTACTGCAACCGTCAGCGCCAAAATGGCAAAACTCAAGTGAGCACAAAAATCACGATTTACAGCCTATCTCTTAATAGAGGTCAGTGAGGATATAACCGGTATCCGTCCATGGTATTTATTTTAAAATAAAAATTGGTGGTTTAGGTAGCTCAAAATTAAAATGTGGTAGTTAATTCATGTAAGTATATAAGTAACGTTTAATGTTTAAAATCATAAATATTGTAGGCGTTGTCTTTCAATCTATCAAATATCAGCGCAATTTAAAAGAAGTAATAATGGTTTTACTTGACGCTCGTTGCCTTAATAACAAAGGAAATGTGTTTTAAAAATCATTCTATTTTAATTAACGCACGCATTAATAGAAAATAAAATTGTAAATAAACCATAGATACAAGTTATTTTATTCTTTGTCATATTTTACTTCATCTGTGGCTCTGGCTGTCATTGTAGCAGTGTGGGCACTCTTGGCAAGTTTCTACTATTTTAGTAGAATTAGACTTATAGCTAGAAATAGGCAATTGCATGTATTTATATTACTTGTATAATTACTTGTATTAAAGTATTAGCTTTTTGTGTATATGTACACAATGTTATAGTACAGTTGCATAATAATATTCTATGAGATTTTTCTTGAGCATTTACAAAAATCTAAATTACTAAATATTCGCAGTAATTAGGTAAGTCACTAGTAGAAAGCTAATTTTTAAACTGGTCACATTCAACGCGTTGCTATTGCAATTGTAATATGAAACATATTGCGATCTCTTTTACACGTATTACATTTTCTGTGACAAATAAGGATAGAAGCATTTAGTCTAAGCCGTTGTCCTACATGACAGTAGATATAACATGGACGTGAATAAAAATAAGGATTTGGAATACAATACCACTGCTGAAACATTTTATTTTATGATATTGTTGTCTTTGTTTTTTCCAACAGAATTACTCTCTCATTAACAATGTATTTTGTGTCGTCACACCTTGTTACAAAAGTTGAAATCTAAGTAGGTAATATAAATTCTGATTAGGTCACAGTATACACATAATGTTTTTTTGATTTTGTGAACTAAAATCAGTATGTAACAATATTTTAGGGGTTACGAAATATACTGTTGTCTACTACTATGTTATTGCGTCATTAAATATTTTTATGAATCGCTGAGTGGGTTTAAACGTCATTAATTGTGTTTTCTTAAATTCCAAAATAATGCCACATTCAAAGAGCACAAAATGTTTGAAGGAAATATTAGGGATTAAAAACATCAAAAACTCTTTTATAAGGCATTTAATAAAGGTTGAAGAAAATATCTAACTTTTTAATAATAATAACAGGATAAAGATAACGTGTAGGATGGGATTTAGATTGACTGTGTAACGTAACCGTGAGTTTTCACTGGCGAAACAATGAAATCCAGAGCAAACTTAAAACTGTAATTAGAACATCAGTGGGTTTATATTGTAGTGTTTTATACATTATTTACTCACAAATAAATTACCTTTCTCATGGTAAAGAATTTTTAAAATCGGACCAATAGTTTGTGAGTTATTTTAATACATACAAAAATACAAAGATTTCCTCTTTATAATATTAGTATTAGCTATCTGTGCTGTTACTCATATTTCGTTTACTAAGATAGCATTGAATAGGAAGTTTGAGAGTAGCCCCAGTGGTTGAGAAAATAAGGAGTAAAAGGTTAGAGTGGTATGGGCATGTTATGAGAAGGGATGAATCGCATGTGACAAGAAGGATATTAGTTATGAATGTGGAGGGGTACATCGGTAGAGGTAGACCTAGAAAGAGATGGATGGATTGCGTGAAAGGTGACATGATCAAGAAGGGAGTGATGACTGAGATGACGGATGATAGAATGCTTTGGAGGACGAAAACCCGGTGCGCCGACCCTACGGGAGTAGGATAAGGCAGGGGAGATGATGAAGATAGCATTGAATAATGTGTACAATACAAATAGTTCTTCATCACAAGAACGTGTCCAATAGTTGGTGACGTTTTACTAATCGATGACCGTGTGTTTTCCAATGGCGGGTATTAAACCGGTTTCGAAATCTTCTGAACGACCCGCACACATATTAAAGTAATCATTACTTTGTCGGCGTATACAGAAAAAAGGGGTTGAAGCTTGTGCTTTCATTTAAACTTTACAACAATATTTTCCTGTTTCAAAACTCGGTATTTATAAGTGGTTATTACATTACGTTTCTTACTTTGTTAATCCTGAATCCCTCCTCTTCGGTATTACATTCATCTTAAACTTTAAGTCTGTTAATACTGTTATGAAAAAAAGATTGTGGTCTGCCATTTATTTCATTGAAGACGAATAATCAATAGGAATTGTCATGTAAGAACCATGTTATCAATATCTAGGTATACTAATGTTATAAGGAGGAAAGATTTGTATTTTTGTATGTATTCGATTCACGTAATTTTACTAGGCAAATACGAGAGCAATAGCTAGTGATTTATAATTTTACATGTTACACGGCGAACATTCGTACATCCAGTATGTAAGGAAACAAGCGACAAACTGTTCGATACGAATGTTACACCTCGTAACGTCAGTCTGTACACAGCTTAAGTTATGTTTTGATCAACATTACTAAATGTGTAAACATGTTTGCGATTCAACACTAACAATACTGCAACACTAATATTGCACTTCTAACAAACAAGATTGTTAGAAGTGCAATATAAAAAGAAATCGACTAAAAGCAAAACTCAATAAACACTTCCTCCAAGTTCTCTCAGATCTATTGAATAATTTAGCGTAGCTCTATTAGTCTTTTAATGCAGTTTCGTAGTACTTTCCATTTGCTCCTCGATCGCAAAACTAATAGTCTGAAGAGTTTCCAGATTCAATTTTCCCATTAAATGTGAAAAAGATTTCTTGCGATCCTCTTGATATTTTCCTGCGAGAATTTATTTTAATCGGCTTACCTTGTCTACGGAGAATGTAAAATGTCTGTGAAGAAAATATTCCATGAAATACGAACAAAGAATAAATCTTAGTTTTATTGATAAAAATGATTTTTCTTATTCCTCACGAGATTGACCAAAGACGTTTTTAGTAAATTCGTCATATAGAGTGTGTATATAATTTTGTCTATCCCAAATCTGACTGATTTGTTATCTTTTTATCTATACATATAATAAAATTGGAGTGTCTGTTTGTAATATCAAAAGTAAATTCTAGATTTCGGGAAAATAATGTTTTTGCGTTGCTGATAACGAACATCGCATTTAATTTTTCTTTGCCCGTCTGTCTGTCCGCAAGCCGCGTTTTTTCTGGTTAATCTCCGAAACGGATTAATCGATTTCGACCAGACTTTCACTGAAGGGTAGCTGGACGAAGTCGCGAGCAACCGCTTGTATTTAATAAAAGTCCATTTAAGTTAATTTATTATATTTATTTGTTCTACACCAAATTATTATTTTAGATAGAAAAAAAAATAATATCATTACATTCATTACAATGAAAATAATATTTTTTATCTAAATCTCATGTAAGTTGTTAATTTCAAAGTATTGCCCTTTCAAAGGAAAATGTTTTAAGAAGTACATAATATCTCCATAAAAAAATCATCCAGAATTCCAATCATCCGTGAAGTTATTTTCCTGGTTCTAAGTTGTCATGGCAACGGTGGCATGACCTACTTACATAATTGTTACGGTACCGTTTAAATGTTTTAATATTTCGAAGCTACAATACATTTCGTATTGGCAAATTAAATTCAGCAATTTAATAATTCATCAATCCTCCGACTGAATGATCACTAAGGGAGAGATTTCTTGCACTAAATATAGATTTTTATAAGCAATAGTTAAATGTATAATGCAGTTATTATGTGAATATTTTTCATGTACTACAACTGATAGAAGATTTTACTTAAAACCTATATTTTGGTAAGTAACTATCTTTTTACTATCTAATAACAGTCTTAAAGGCGGACATATGGACTTGCTCTACAAATATAAAGGGTGACGCATCGCTTCTAACTGCATTTCTTGTAGCGTAAAAAATATTACTCAAACTTTCGACTGATGAGTCAAGTATCGTTGTCCTCGAAAACAAAAGCCAAACAATTTTTGTATAATGTGATTTTCCAGGAGTTTGGTTTTTAAAATAAAATATCACATTACATAACAACTTGGCGCATTCCTAGTACTTTTCTTTCGCCTCTTACACAATTAACTTCCTTAGTAAGTCCGCCTAGGGCTGTATAAGTCCGCCTACGATTAGGAGAGCTACCAACAATTCCACTAATACATCCGTAACCTCTGAATAACTCACTGGGTTATTGGTTTTCATGCTCTAACCAAGTTACATTTAATTTTTTTTATCCTATTTTTTTGTTTTAGTTTCGTTTAAACTTCGCTAAATTAAAAAATATAAGACAAGAGTACGCTGAAAATTTCCCGCAAAATTCCTCCGAGTAATCGTTTTGTGAACTGTAATTCCAACAATGTGAAGCAAAGGTAGATCTGACCGCCAGTAGAGGAATTAAACGACTTTAATGTCGTCATTTGTTTGCTTTTATTAATTGATTATTGAAGTTTAACTTTTTATATCATGGAAGTTTTTCCTTGTATTTGCCCAATCATACTAACATTATAAATGAGAGAGTTTAGATGGATGGATGGATGTTTGTTAGAGTTTGTAGCCTAAACGGCTTAACGGATTTCGATTAAATTTGACGGAGTCGCGGGCGAAAGCTAGTATTCTCATAAAACAGGCTCACCTTTTAAAAATGGAACATTCTTTAGGATTAGTGTCATTTTCACTGGCAATGGCTTTGTGAGTTCGAATCCCGATATTGGACTATTGTGAATAAGTCCAACACAAGGCTCGAAATTATTTGAAATGGTAACATTAAATTTAAACGACAGTAATGAATA